CGTGCCAAAAACTGCAGTTCCTGTAACATCCAGCAGAGGCTCCAGCAGCGAGTCAGTCCCTTTGACACCCACGTTAACACGTGACAGCAGAAATAAACATGTGGATGTTGTTTATGTTTAAGTTCGTTAGATTAGCAAAGTTCATCTGGTTATTAGACGCCTTGTGTTTTCTGCCCCTGTATTCCCTCACCCTTTGTGTTTCATGCTGCATGTCTTATGTTATCAAGTTTGTATTGTCTTGTCTGTGTCTCATGTTTCCTGTTTTATTTTGAAGGAGGTGTGTGTTCTTTGTTCATTGTATTTAGTTTCACTTCCCCTGTCCTGTCATTAGCCTCCTGTCAGTCAGCTGTTCGCCCATGTGTTCCCACTTCCCTTAATCACCTCCTGTGTATTTAAGTCCTCTGTTTTCAGGGTGTCATTGTCAGATCGGTTGCGTTGTAGGCCAAGAGTTCATGTCAAGTTTTCAGGTCAGGTCCATGTTCCTGTTGTAGGCTTTTATTTAATTTAGCTCACCCAGTTTAGTTTATTGTTAGCCTTGCCAGCCTCAATAAACGGCTCGTGTTTGGTCATTCAAGTCACGTTTTGTTTCGTTTTGGGTCCACCTTTCACTCTACACACAGTCAGCCTCGCGGATTGTGACACATGGGCCTTTAGGTATTATTAAGAAGGTAGTTTGCATTATTATTTGCATTATTAGGGGGTAGCATCTTTGACGTCTTTTACTGTACAAATATGAAGTGCCTTGAGGTGACTGTTGTTGTGATTTGGCGCTATATAAATAAAATTGAATTGAATTGAACAGCTAATTCTTTGAACTGAAGCATTTTTAATGCAACAGTGTACCAACCAATAATATGGCTGCTGTTAGGTTAATAGTACTAACAGACTTATCAAGAAATCTGAGCTCCAGTTGTGCTGAGTGAAATTTGGGGACTTTATTATGCACTAATTAGCATCTGTGGGATGCTCCCATACAGGCTGTGGAAACAAGTGCTATAAAGCTATAAAGTGATCCACTTTGTTTTCCAAACTTCGGTCAGATGTTTGTGAGCCTTTGCTAATCATAGATTTATCAGTGTCATGTTGGTGTTTAAAGACATCCAGTATGCTGTACTGACTGTAGAAATATCTGAGCTAATGAGTGTAAAAACCCAGAAAACTTCTGAAGTTACTGTTGCCAACATAAAATCTTCCTGCTTGCTTTTCTTACAATGATGTGGGAAGAATCGTGTTTTAAAACGCTTCTTCTCAATCAATTTGAGGATTATTTACGTCAAGTCTGAAATTCAGAAATGTGCTGTTAGTATAATCATTTATTGTATCCTTGCAAATCCATTTTCTTTTGCCTGATGTAATTAGACGTTTAGTTGCTTACCTGGTTTGGTGGAGTTGCACAGGACTTCCGTGATGTTTTTGTAGAGTTTTTCCAGGGCGTCAAAGTTATCCACGTAAAAAACTCTGGCTTTATCTTGACCAGCCATGACCTCCAGCTGTTTCTTGTTGGCTCCTTCTACTCCAATACTGAAGACAGTGACCCCTTTGTTTCTCAGAGCCGCAGATGGTTCATTCAGACTGTGTGGGTCAGTAGCATCGCCATCGGTAATTACCATGAGGATCTGAGGCACCTGCAGCTCTGCCCGTCCACCATAGTTAGCATCAAAGAACTGTAGAGCATATTTCAAAGCTTTGCCAGTGTACGTGTCTCCATACGGGATTTGAGAGCCATTATGGCCTGGGAAACCTCCTGCTTGGAGCTGAACTGATTGAGAGTGAAAATAGACTTGGGTTCATTCGCGTAGAGGATGACACCGAAGCGGGTCAGGTCTTTGCCAACTGTGGTTTGGTTCACCATTGACTGCATGAACTTCTGCATGCTTCGAAACTTTTCCAGGGTTATGCTTGTGGAGCCGTCCACCAAGAAAATGATGTCAGCTCTTTCTGTCTTCTTGCATTCTGGTGGTAAAAAGCACAAATGTTTGGTCAGAGGGAATGGGAGCAGGAACGTCAAGGAACAGCTCTTTAAAACCTCCTAAGACCCAAACCCTTTCATGGCATGCATTTTTAATTTCTCTTTGCTATTTGGGCTGATTAAGACCTGATGAATGTAAAAAACATTTTCTTTTTACCTATTTTTTTGTTTCTGAGAAGAATGATATTCGTTTTTAATTTTTATAGAGCAGTGTAATGTCCTCGTAAGTGGATATTAGGCCATTGTAGAAAAATATTAAGTATTGTGGTCTAGAAAACCCAAAATGTGATGTCCACATATGCGGACGTCAAGTCCTAGAAGGTTAAAATATTAAAGTGAAGGCGACGAGGATCTCTTTATCATGTAGGGTTGATGTACCACAATAGGTTTTAATGGTGGAAGAAACTGGAACCACTGAAAGAAAGCTGCAAACACCCAAACAGAAAGTCCCGGATCTGCTCCAGAAGTTCCCCGCTAATCTATAATGCTGCTAAAATCATCCCTGTCTCTCTTCCACAGCATGTCTTTATCCCGTCTTCCTTCTCTCACCCCAACCAATCACAGCAGATGGCCCCGCCCCTCCCTGAGCCTGGTTCTGCCGGAGGTTTCTTCCTGTTAAAAGGGAGTTTTTCCTTCCCACTGTCACCAAGTGCTGCTCATAGGGGGTCATATGATTGTTGGGGTTTCTCTGTATGTATTATTGTAGGTCTACCTTAAAATATAAAGCACCGTGAGCCGACTGATGTTGTGATTTGGCGCTGTATGAATAAATTGAATTCATTTCCTAACCACCACATTGACCTCATTATAATACTGTAGTTCTCATGTTACACAGGTCGGAAAACAGAGGACCCTTTTAATGTGGGACTCAACAAGTATGTATTCAAAGAGGAGTCCTTTCCTCCTTGGAAGATGAGTGGACGAATGACAAAATTTTCCTGTCTTTACACAAACACATATTACAGAACAGGATCCTTCTCATTACAGCAAGGAGCCCATTAACTGGCAGACTACTGAATTAACCTGTTAAAGTAAGAAGCCTCAGACTTGAATGATCTCATCCCTTCTGCCTGGCACTAGACTGCAAACTGTAAAGATTTTTATATTTACAAAAACAAGGATATAGTTCACGTTTCGGGTTGGTCCCAGTCTCCTCTCACCTCTCTCCGGATCACAGAGCTCCAAAGCCACTTGACTCTCCAAGTCCCTCAAAGCATCAAAGTCCCTCTCAGCATACATCCTATCTTGGGATCCACTGATCTCGAGCAGCTGGGTGGTGTTGGCGTCCACCACTCCAATGGCGTAGACCACCACTCCTTTGGCCCTCAGATCTTCAGCGGGGCGTTTAACTGCATCTTGAGCCTCGCCATCTGTTATGACCACTAGCCTCTGCCTCAGGCTGGGCCGTCCTCCTCTGGCTGCATCAAAAATACTGAGATACTTCTCTTATGGCTTTGCCCGTGTACGTGCCTCCACCCATCTGCTTCATGCTATCGATGGCTGTCGACATTTCTTCTTTGCTGTAGTGGACGTTGAGTGGGAACTCGAGGCTTTGGACAGTGCTGAACTGCATGACGCCTACGTGCACCTCATTCTTCCCAATGATGGACTTCCTAATGACCGATTTCATGAACTCTTTCATTTTTGTGTAGTCTTCGGCATAGATGCTTCCAGAGCTGTCAATCAAGAAGACGAGGTCGCCTGGTATATCTTTACAAACTGTAGGCAGAGTAGCACATCCATGTTAGCATCGCTGCTTGTATGTTAAATAATAATTACCCTGTTTCAAGAAACAAAGGTGTCCTGTGTTGAACGGCTCTTGTCCTCTCCAGCCTTCTATGACCATGTGCAGCATATTATATCTATATATCTGTCTCTATGTATAGATACATTTTGGCTAATATTTGCTCACTTTTATCTTATTCCTCTGGTGGCATTTGATAAGTACGACAATTTCATGCATATTAATTCAGTATTTTATGCTAACACTTAAAACAGTGTCTTTCTCAGTGTAAAAACTCATTTCTGTTAAGGTGACGAACTCCCTGATATCCAACGATTTATGTCATCAGTAAAATCTGTTCTCCTTTCACTTTGCTTATTTCAGTTTCATTCTACTCTTAACTACTGGTTTAAGGCTGAATACGGCAGTTTTATACGGCTCTTTTCATTAAACTTAAACCCAATGAGATATACAATGACTTAAACACTGAAAATTAATAAAATGCAGCTGCAGTATGTGCTGCTTGTAACCTCTAGACATGCATTTGTAGCATGAGTGTGGTTCATTTCCCCTCACCGTCTGTAGAACAGATATCTGTGATGATTTCATCTTTGATCGACTTTTAAGGCATCGAAATTATTGACAAGAAAGTCCTCTTGGGTCACCGGAAATCTCTTCCAGCTCAGGCACGTCGGCGTCTTTCACCCCAATGGTGTAGACAATGACACCCTGCTTCCTCAGTCGCTCTGCTGGAACCTTGACTTATCCTGAGATTTCCATCCGTGATGACCACCAGGAACTCGGGGACTTTGTGACCACGAGTGACCACAGCTCTCTCAAAGTGTGGACTCATGAATTCCAGGGCCTGCCCCGTCTGTGTGCCGCGCCTACTTGTCTAATTTCCTCCACAGCTTTCTCCAGCGTGGATGCATCTGTGTAATCGGTCAGATCAAATTCCAGGTTTGGCGAATCTGCGTATTTGGCAACGCCCATTCGGATATGCTGAGGCCCGATACGGAAGGTATTAATAAACTCAATGATGAACTTCTTCATGTCATAGAAGTCAGTGGGGTGAATGCTTCCCGAGTGGTCGATCAGGAAGAACATGTCTGCTTCATCGGTCTGCACGCAGCCTGGAAAGGAAAAGCAAACATTCTGAGTTTGCAACTTTAAATTTGTTAAAGAAGTCATGATGTTCAAGTTAAGTCATGAAAGTGTAAGAACATGCTGGTCCACACCTTCTTTGATGCCAGCTCTTCTTGTGCTGACTGAGACCGCCTGGTGAATGATGTTATAGCAAAGAGTCTTCTGCAGGTTCTTCTTCAGACCTTTCAGCTTGTCAAAAGTGTCCACTATGAACACGTGCTTGTTGGGGGGTAGGACGCTATCTGGTTCAGTTCAGCCTCGTTGGCATTTTGGACTCCTACAGCGTAAACGGTGACGCCAGCGCGGCGGAGAGCAGCTGCCGCCTCGGTGACGTTATCCTGCGATTCGCCGTCTGTGATCACGACCGCCACCTGCTGAACGCCCTTATCTTTCCTGCTTCCAGCGTCCTCCGTGAAAATATTTTTGCGAGTGAAGTCGAGGGCAGCTCCGGTGTTTGTACCACCTCCGCGATAAGGCAGGATTTTGATGAAATTCAGCAAACTGTCCGTTTCATTAAAGTTGTTGAGGTAGACCAGCGCTGTGGCTTGGTCGCTGTATGTAACGATACCCACCCGAACTCTCTTGTCACCGACGTCAAAGCCGCTGACAATGGACAGCAGGAAAGAGCGCACCAGGTCGAAGTTCTCAGAGCCGATGCTTCCCGACTCGTCCACGATGAAGACGAAGTCCGCCAGTTTGGCTGCTTTGCAGTCTGTAAAGGGAATCATAATCTCGTTATCACTCAAGCATTCTGATTCAGGATGTGACGATGACGCCACACTAATTCTTTTTACTTTTTGTTAATGTGCAGCTTCACCCCAGTTCCACAAAGGTTGGGATGCTGTACAAAATGGGAATAACAGCAGAATACAACCTCACATCTCAGTACACAGCATCACACTTTTTGGAATTAGGGTTAAATATGTGTTGCTAGTAGGTCATTTGGTTGGATGTTGTTTCTTTGGCACAGAATTCCAGGTACGTGACAGCTAATAAAGGTTTCCCATCCAGGGTGCCTGTTTCTGTATTGCCCTCATATTCCGCACTCAAACTAAAGAATTAGTCCACATATACTGTCGAGGATCATTAGAACGAACAGATCCATGTTATTTGTTTTAATAACTCATGTAGGCAGTCACAGTGGGACACCCACTACATGCTGAGAATCCTGTCCTGTCTTCCTTCTCTCACCCCAACCAATCACAGCAGATGGCCCCGCCCCTCCCTGAGCCTAGTTCTGCAGGAGGTTTCTTCCTGTTAAAAGGGAGTTTTTCCTTCCCACTGTTGCCAAAGTGCTGCTCATAGGGGGTCATATGATTGTTGGGTTTTTCTCTGTATCTATGAAGCGCCTTGAGGCGACTTTTGTTGTGATTTGGCGCTATATAAATAAAATTGAATTGAATTGAGAAGTGACACTAGCATTTCAAGCGTTTTGACGATGTTGAAGTGTAACACAGTTTCGGTTAAATATATCTCAATGATGTCGGTTCTACTGCCCGTGAAGCTAGCAACAGTTGTCTCTTACCACCCATACAGGCTGGCTTTCCACTCATGAATGACTGTCACATTTAAATGCAACTAATAAACACATCTATGTTGTGAAGTGGTACATTTAACACAAACCGTCACCTTGTGTTTGCACTGTCTAAAGCTAGCATATGATAAAACTGTGACTTTCTCACAACAACAGACTTCATCTGACTAGAAGGCTGTGATTTCTCTGCAGGGAAGGTCAATCTGCATCTAACAGACTGAAAACGTGAAAGTAAAAATAAATGTTAAAATATTTGATGTCCTGGGGTGAAAATATGGAAGCATGAAGACATCTCAGATGTTCTCGCCACAGCATGCTGGCGTTTCCAGCAGGATAAGTTTATCATCAAGATTAAAGGTAATAAAACAGGTAATTTACGTGACTGTTCCTTTGTGAATAACCTTTTTCAAACATGCACAGGAGTTGATTTTATGACTGATGACAACAATAATGAAAGTAAAGACTTTTCACCGTGAGTGAGAGTGATCTCCTCTTCCTCTCTTTCAAAAATGGTCTTTAGCGTGGGCACTGCATTGAAGGTAGACTCGTACACGTACGGCGCCGTGGCTATTACACGCATTTCGTCCATTGATGCACCGAAGCTCACTCCCACGATAGTTACGCCTAGTGATTTGATCAGACGTGTCTGCTTAAAAACTGGATCATCTGAGTCTTTTCCACTTAGAACAACCAGAAACTGTCGGAAGCCTTGGGATGCCCGACTTCCTGATTCATTCGTGAAGAAATTAGAGCTGGCGTACTCCAGTGCACTGCCCAGGTTGCGTGGCTGATTGGGCTTAAGTCGGCTCTGGCGGAAGGACCTTACACCAGTGAGCGCCGCCTCTTTGGTTTGGAAAGCATTAAGGAGAAACTCCACTTTGGTAACCGTACTGTACTGGGCCAGTCCGAGACGGTTGCCAGAAGCTCCAATGTTGAGTTGATTGACCAGTCGGACCAGGATGGTTCTGACCTGCTGGAAATCTGCTTGACTGATGCCACTGTCCACCAGGAAGAAAATGTCTGCAAACTTTTCTGCCAACGCTGTAAATTAAGAAGAAAACAGTCCTTCACTATTATTATATGCATTTCCATCTATATGAAATTAAACTACCTGCAGGTCTAAAAGACAAAGGTTTGGAATTGTTGTTGTTTTAATTTCAGTTTGTAACCACAACCCTGCCCTGGATGGCACGATTCTCTTTCATCTGCACAATATTTTTAAAATTGGACACACGCTGTCTCAGAGTGATCCATTTGTTGCTTCTAATTTCCTTTTTTGTGTTTTTTCCAAAACCACTCAGAGAGGACACAGAACGACGGATCTTATTCTCCATATTAGGGTACTAACTTAGGTGCTATAATATACTGACAGGGACTAGAAAGAGAGAGCAGATTTCTCCTGTTTTGGCTTCCTGTTAAATCCAGAATTCAAAATCCTGCTCCTCACATACAAGGTCTTAAATAATCAGGCCCCATCTTATCTTAATGACCTTGTAGTACCATATCACCCTATTAGAGCACTTCGCTCTCGCTCTGCAGGCCTACTTGTTGTTCCTAGAGTATTTAAAAGTAGAATGGGAGGCAGAGCCTTCAGTTTTCAGGCCCCTCTTCTGTGGAACCAGCTTCCAGTTTGGATTCAGGAGACAGACACTATCTCTACTTTCAAGATTAGGCTTCAAACTTTCCTTTTTGCTAAAGCATATAGTTAGGGCTGGACCAGGTGACCCTGAATCCTCCCTTAGTTATGCTGCAATGGGCTCCAGCAAGGCTGGACAATGGTCCGTTAAGTTTACCTAAAGAAGTTATAGTCAGCAGTGATGGTTAACCAGTTAAAAAAAAAGAAAACTGGTCATAATGTCATTAAAAATAAGGAAGTGTAAGTAAAGCAACCTAATTTCTTCAATTATAATAAATAATAAAGACTGAATTAAGAATGTCAGAAAATCTAACGTTAGAGTCCACGTTTGAACGAGGGGTGGCATTTGTTACACTGAAAACATGTTGTCTTTGACTGTCGGGGGTTTTCTTTCTATTCGCTTTAAAGCAAAGAACGTATCTGTTTCATACACATTGAGTGGTGGATGAGAAAAGCCTTCAGGGGTTCTGCTGCAGCTTGCGGGTAACTCGACTAACATCTCTAAATGATCAGCCGATACGTTCCCGATTGCTATCAATGCAAACTGAGCAGAAATCCTCTGACGCAGTTACATTTTAAATCCCTGACCAGTGAAAATAGAACTAAGCAGCATTCAGGTATTCATTTCCTTCTCTTATAATAAACAATTCTGTAAGGACGTTTTCTTTGTCTCACCTTGACTCCGACTCTCCACGGAGATGCATACAGTTTGCAGCAGACTGTCTGTTAGCCGCTGTAGAGCCTGGTAGCTATCGATAGTGTAAAGGAAGTGGTGTGCAGGTAGGTTTACGATAGACTCGAGCTGCTGCTGGTTAACATCTCCCACCCCAATGGCAAATATGATAACTCCTTGATCGCGCAGGCGCTTGGCGGGCTCGACTACGTCATCCGTGGAGTCCCCGTCTGTGATGACTACAGCAAACTGAGGAACTCGCTGGCTCGCCCGGCTCCCTGCCTCCTGAGTGAAGTACGCTGACTGGAGGAAGTCAATGGCCTTTCCTGTTTCTGTGCCTCCTGTTCGATATGGAAACTGATCGACTTCGGCCAGCAGAGAATCCTTGTCCATGTGATCTTTCAGCAGAAACTCCTGGTAGGTCTCGTCGCTATACTGAGCCAAGCCAATCCGAATTTTGTCAGGGCCGATGTCAAGGCCTAAAATGAAACTTCGGAGAAACTGCCTAATTTCCTCAAGTTATCAACGCCAATGCTACTTGAGCTGTCAACCAGGAAGACGATGTCTGCCACGGTGGCTCTGGCACATTCTGGAAAAGAAGAAGAAGAAAGTCAGGAACACGAGAGGAAAGTCAGTGAAACCTACATTTCTCGAGAAAGATAAAAACTTTGGGCGGGGCTTTCCCGGTTTTATATTTAATAAATGGTCAATGGACTGGTTCTTATATAACACTTTTCTACTCAGACTTATTTTACCTTGAGACGACAGTTTGCATGTTTATGATGATGAACCTGTTAGTTCATGAGCCCATTGTTAGTCAGCGGGCTGGTTTCAAACCTGCAGTCAGCTGAGACCGATAAAGTCACCTGGATGAGTGACCAAACGTTCTGAAAACACCATGTCCAGATGAACAGAATCAAGCTTTTGGGGTTTACCTGGAGACAGTTGCAGGAGTTGTCGTTTGGCTTCTTCTACAGTTGTGCATAGCGTCTGGATGATGTTCTGAGAAATTCCCTGCAGCGCTGCAAAATCTGACACACTGTAAACATGCTGATCGTCATTTGCAATCTCCCTCAGCTGGCTTGCATCTGCATCTTTGATACCAATTGCATACAAAACAATCCCTCTTCTCCTCAGGTTCTTAGCATGAGACTCTACATCGTCTTGGGATTTGCCATCAGTGATCACCACAGCAATTTGCGGCACTTTCTGCGCAGCTCGGCTTCCAGCTTTCCCCACAAAGTGTTCGTTCGACATGAATTCCAAGCCTTTACCGGTCATGGTGCCGCCCCCCCTGTAAGGCAGTTTGATGATGTTGTTGAGGATGTCGTCCTTGTTCTCAAAGGTGTTGAGCAGAAACTCTGTGAGTGGATTGTCACTGTACTGGACAAGGCCGATGCGGACGTGATCAGGGCTGACATCAAAGCTATCGACCAGCGTGAACAGAAACTGGCGGATCTGCTCGAAGTTCTCAGCGCCGATGCTCCACGAGCCATCGACCAGGAAGACGATGTCTGCCACGGCCTCTTCGGTACAGACTAAGAGGAAAGGTCTTTAAGTCACGGAGAGGAACTGCTGGACGCTAAAAGGAAATCTCTCAGTAGCTGAGGACGTTTGGCAGCGTGAGGTGTCAGCGTGGCTTATAGACAACAGAGGTGGGCTGTGCCATGTGACTGCTGGAAAAGAAAAATGGGCATGTTGCCGCCGGCTCGTGAAAAGCCTCTGGACTGGAGCAGGGATGCTTGCTGACAGCACTCACCTTCAGGGTGGAAAAGCGTGAGGAAAATGAGAAAAAGCGGCGTGTGGCTTACAGCTGGTGTTCATTGCCTTCAGAAAGCTTTGCTTTCGTTAGCAGTGACCTGACTGCTAACGAAACCCCGACCTTTAACCCTCGCATCTCATTCATGTGCCTGGTTGCAAAAACATTTCCACACTAACCCTAATAATTCGGGGCCGTCTCAGAAACACCTTGAACACGTTCAACGTGAGCGTGCTCCAGTTGTAATACAGCAAAGGCCCAATGACAGCACTACAGGTCAGGTTCACCCATTTTTAATAGATACTGTTGGTGAATAAGAGCGAGTCAGATCTATTTTTACAGAGGCTCTTTTTAAAGTACAGCTGTTGGACAACTTTTCAAACCCAGAAAACTGCTCCCTCATCAGCAGCTTGATTATGGTAAAACGGGCGTGTGGAGAAGAAGGGGACACACCCCGAGGAGCCAATCAGAGCCACGCACCGGGCCTTCCTTCTCTCTGCTGCTCACGGTGGATCATCTGCACCCACCTCAACCTATCCCAGCGTCTTCCTCTTCTCCTGCCTGCAGCTGCATCTTCATTCTCCACCCTCCCTCCATCCTGCTCACTGAACACCTTCAGCTCAGCTCCACTGTCCAAAGTCTCACCTCCATCCTTGAACCTTCCCTTTCACTCTTGCTGCTATCCTTCAGTCACATTTGCCTCCACCCGCTCCACCCTGCCTGCACTCTGTCCTGTGGATGTTAAACCTTCACCATTTCTGCTCCTGCATGTTCACCTGACCCCCTCTCATTCACACACATGTATTCTGTCTTCTAGTGGACTTCATCCCTTTTGCAGACGTCTCAGCACTGCTGACGAATCACATTTCCTGGCTACACGCTGCTAACTTCAATCTGCTTTTTTATTTCCAGTCATCATCCACAAGTTAATGCTACATTTTTCAGGGATAACTTATGTATTAGTTTAATTACTGACAGTGACCATGGACTGCACCTAAACGTCCAGCTCTACATAATGTTGGAGAAGTAATTTGTGGTTAAACAGATACTAAATGTTTCTGTGTGGCAGCGATGCTGGAACGACAGGATCAGTGGAGGAAGTTTTAATCTGGAGCCTGAGACCTAAGAAGGAAAATGTTTTATGCAGCCAGACACCCGTCGAAGCTTTGTGTTTGTGCGTTTGTGAGCTTGTTAATTGTGCGTGTGCACGTGCTCAGCTGCAAACACATTCCTGTGCAGGGTTAGTGCTCCGTGTGTGAACTTCAAAACTTACCTGTGTGTGTGTGTGTGTGTGTGTGTCAGTGTATGGATGGTATAAACAGCTTCCACTGATGTCATACTTTCACCAGGACGCAGGAAGTGGAGCCATAAGCTGCATAATCACACCCACCTGTTGTCTGAGCGCCGCTGCTGCAGAAACACGCCGCCATGATGAGGCCGACCAGAGCAGCCCGCCTCCACTCCATGCTGGATCGGGTTTCTCTGTACCTGCGACAGAAACAGAGTCTGTTTCACATCTGGAAGCAGCTCCATCACAGCGGGAGCTGCTTCAAACATCTGCTCCACGAGGAACGTGAGGCTGAGTAGATGTTTGCGGAAGCTTTTTGTGCCAAAACAGGATTTCGTTATATAACAGAGACAGAAACACAGCAGAGACACGAGGGGAGGAACAATATTTATGATAATTATGGGATATTTCAGCCCCAGTTAAGATACTTACAATCGTCCAGGTTAAATTATTGGACAATTATGTGTAACTTTAATTTTTTAAATAAAGGTTTGAAGGATTCGTCTAATAAATTGTTCATGAATGAACATGAATGGATGACATGTTGTTTATTAATGCACACAGTGTTCGTAAGGCATGAAAATAAAAACTAGCATGCATCAGGAGAACGGTCCACAGTCTGCATCTGCAGCCGAGGATGAACCCTCCCTCCACACACACACAGGAAATATGGATTTGCATGTCAAGATATGACAGGAATCATCTGATGTTTCCCAATCTTGTAACAGTAAAGAAGCCATCCAAAAATTCCTGCATCCAGTAAAGTAAATCACTTCCAGCCCCGCTTCTGAGCTGAGACGTGAGATGTAGCTCATAATGATGATGATGGAGCGTCCTGATTGGTCAGTTTTTAATCAAGCTGAAATAGTTCGCTCAGCGTGTCTCGCCCACTGATGTTGAAAGTTTCAGTATAATTATTGAAACGACACATTCCTGCTCGCAGCCATGAACTCATCTCCTCGGGGTGCTGTGAAACCAGAACCGCAGCACCGCAATAAAAGCTACAAATCATCGAGCGACAGCTACGAGGTCACCAATCACGTCTGTGCGACGTCTGTAAACCAGTGTCAGACACGGGGAAACTATTAAAACTCGGCGTGTGTGAGCGCACTGACAGGAAATAAGATGTGATGCTCAGTTTGAATAACATCAGCGTTGCCGTGGAGACGGCAGGGGAGGAGCCAGCAGGAATCAGGAAATTGTAATTTAGTCAAAAGCATTTTGTGAATCCAGATGGAGCAGCATCCGTAGCATCCAGGCGGGAAGCCTGTTAGCGGGTTAAAGCTGGGTTCTTTCTAATGTCCAGCAGGGGGCGACTCCTGTATTGAAGTGTTTCTGGTGTGACAGCTCAGGGAACTATGAGGTCTCAGTCGCTGGTTTCAGGTCGGATGTAATTAAAACCATGAGGATAATTCTGGAAACGAATCCCGTTAGAGCAGAAAGAACGAGCGAGATGATCGAGGGGTACGCTCTAAGGTTAATGAAATGCTTCTGTGTCCTTCACTTACTCGTATCCACCGTCAGCACCACACCAACCAGTGGCTATGTCCATCTTTTATATACAGTGTGTGTAAAACAGGCTAAACACTCAGACATCCTCGGCTGGTTTCTGCTGTCGTTGGGCCAAACGCGATATCTCCACGTGCAGCTCCACAGCCTCAGCAGCCAGATGAGTCAGACTCTTTCTGGTGTTTGCAGCCAGAAGACTTCAGAGCATCATCTGGCTCTCCTCACGGCCTCACGGTGCCATTTCCTGAGATCTGTAGGCAGCAGACAGTGTCTGGCCACATCACAGGCCGGATGAATGAGAGAATATTTTAAATGTTCTCTGGACGATGGTGCTTCAGATGCAGAGGAGCTCCCTGCTGGTTTTTACTGCCTCTCTACTTTCTTGTCTCACGCCCGCCTCCATAAAGTCTCTGCTCTCTGTTTACTTCCTCATTTCAAACTCTGTCCTCCCTGAACTCCTGCTCAGATCACCTCACAACAAAACAACATCAGTATTTAATCTGTCCGTGTTCAGTTACCATCATTAGAAGAGCAGGACAAACACTGAGGAGTAAACGATGAGAGGAGCGGACTGGTGTTGCAGGTTTGGGTCATGGTTAGCATGCATTTAGCCACATGCTAACCAAACACATTCAGAAATTTTACATGCAAACCAGACCATAAAGCACAGATGACAGAATCCACATGTCAACAGTTTAAGAAGCTGTCAACACGTTGTTTGCATTTGTGCTTTTTTTCTGCAAAGCATTTCAAACAAACTTTTTCTATTTGCACAGAATTATAAAATCACCAGGACCAGTTTTATTAAGTGACTCACAGCACGAAGCACTGCTGTGAACAAAGTTCAAACTGAGGCACAGTACAAAACAGGTTGGAGCTGTCACTGAGAGAACATCAGGACAAAAACAAAAGAAATCAGATCCGGCGTTGAGACAAAGATCTGGTGATGCTCACACAGCAGGAGGTGGATGTATGACGATGAAAAATCGATGAGTCTAAAGAGCCGAGAAGAAGCGAGCGAACGGGTCAGCCCAGATGAGAATCTTAGTCTCAAAGGAGACGATCGCTAGAACCCTGCAGAGGAACGGACGCCAAAAACTTCTGCAGAAGAGACACCTTCAAGTCAGACTGCAGTGTGCCGAGGACGACCCGGAGAAAGGTTCATGTCCCACAGGGAAGCAGTGGCAGGATTACACTGTGATACTGCAACGAACGACCTCCAGAAGACCAAAGCGAGCGCTACTGTCCGGTCTGACTGTGGGCTGACCTGAAGACCGAGGTCCACGCCAGAAGGTCATCACATCTGGAGGAGCCCGAGAGGTTCTCCAAAGCAGAACGGGCTGGGTTCACCGAGGCGACGAGAGGACGGTCATCCACACACAGGTGAGCCGCTCTGATGCACTTTAATCAGAGTTGTGGGATTAATGAGCCTCGTTAGCTTCGGGTGTTTGCTGTTACCGCTGCACAGCCGTCCATCTTCTCCTGCCTGTCCCAGCAGGGACGGACCTGTTAGATCTCTATCAGAGGCGTGGGCGGCGTGCACGTCCTCGCATGATTCACGAACAGCAGTGAGAACGAAGAACGTTGTTTACTGACAGAGGACCATCGTCTTGGACGAATTGTTCACACGGCGACACAATCGTGCACGACGTGCAGGTGAGCCGTGAAACCAAAATAACGTATCTGACTAACGTGCGTCCTGGATGGTGCTCGAGTGAGGATTTGGGCGTGGCTACTACAAACCAGAAGGTTTTACTGGCTTTTAGTTCCCGATGAATAAAGAGTTTAATATGTTAGTGATCTGTCCTGAGTCATGGTTTCCTCCAGTCTCCTGCTGCCACACACTTCCAGTGAATTTCACCAGCTGATTGCAGCTAATAAAGATTTCAAACTCGTCTCGATTCTTTTCCAAGGTGCTGCAGATAAATCTGCTTCGTCCTCCAGGCAGCAAAAGCAGCTCTGGATCTGTGTGGGCTTCATTTATTGGACGCTCACACCTCCCTCTCTCCGTCTACATGTATGAACATGTGTTCGCCCACGAGCGTATTTCAGAGCTGTGTTTAATCACGGGCCAAATGCTCTTGGCCCTGTGAGTGGAGGCGGATTTGGGGGAGGGTTATTCTAATGCGAGGCATGTGGAGGTCATCAGCGCTCCAGTGACAGGCTGATTGAAGCGAGGTCCAGCTCTAGTTACACGGACCTCCAACTGTATTTACTCGGAGCGTGAGCGGCTCTTTCCTGTTGGCTCTATGGACCGTAGATGTTTGATGTTAAAGAATGAAGGGCCTCATGCTTTCTAGTTCAAACTGGTGTCACACATGCAGGAGGCTCTCCTCGCTGATGAGGACATTATAGAGCTGACGCTCTGCAGGCGCGCTGAGGACAGTTTGTGCCCTCCGAGCAGCGTTTAGGAGAACGCTGCATCGTGGACAGCTGCATGAAGCTGGAGCGTTTCTAACATGAATCTGTGTCCGAACAACAATCCCGCATTCAAAGCCTCAGCTGTGGAGGTCAAAGAGGAGCTGAGACTGGACTCGTGTTGAGCGAGCCCCCCTCTCGCCGCGGCTGTCTGGAGAGGCTGAAACTAAGAAATGCCATCTGACCACAGAGGTCTCGTGCCAGCCCACATGAGCTGACGGCTCAGTTCAAACCCTGAATCCAGCAGCCAAGTCCCCCCTCTTCGATGGTCCGCCCCACATACGAGTGAACTGTTTATCTGCTTTAACCTGCTCACTGTCGCTGTGCGTCTGCAGGACGCTCTGGAACCCACGCCCACCCCAACCTCTTCTTTCCAGCCTCCGTCTGACTCAATGTGCTGCTCGTTTCTCCAGGTGTTGCTGCTGAGCCCGTTCTCATCCTCTGGACGTCCAATGGAAACACCTCCAAGCATCAGCCTCGCATCCCTGTGGATGAGCGGGGTTACTGCTGTGATGGGGCAAAAGCTCAGCCTGGTACTTGAAAGTGAAATCCTGGAATGAGCAAATCGATCTGAGCAGTGGCTGAACTTTTGATTTATGCCAACCTCCAAAAGCCGACTCTGCGATGTCAGCGTGTCCCTGCGTGTCCTGAGGAGGAGGCGTCTGACAAAAACAGCTCTGTATTAATCACATCATAAATGTGCATCTCACACAGCGTTAATAGCTCCAAATCTATAGAGGTCAAAGACTTTGTGACTCCTGTGGAGTTTCCTGATGTCACGGACATCAGACACTCATCAGCCGTCTTTTAGCGATGAATGAAAAAGGAGAAAGGAGAGGCCCGACAGCTACATGCGTGCAGGTAAAGTGAGACTGGACGTCACGCTTGCTCTGGAGCTCAGACAGGAGCGTTTTCACGATGCAGAACATGAACGAGCTTCACTGAAACGGTCAGGAGGACCTGGAGCTGCTCCCGTGAACAAACACAGGCTAATGCACGCGGCCGATGCTAAACCTGCACTTCCATCCAGACAGAGAATAAACACCACACAGCTGAAACAGTCGCACACCTCTGCTGTGACCACACAGCGACTTCTTTAACGTCTCTGCTGGGGTGAAGAGAAAAGGAAGAGATGATGGACGATGAACGGCGAGCATGGCGAGGCCTCAGAGCAGAAAGACAGAGCGTCTGTCCCTGTCAGTCTTTGTCTCATTTCACCAACCTGTTAAAGGTCATCACAGACCAGTTCATTCATGCTGACAGAGTTTGTGGG